TAGGTTTAGACAACAGATCAAGATCATGGTGCAAGGGTAGAAACCCATAAGTACTTTGTTCTACTTCTGACTCAAGCCTGAGTCCAAAGAATCTCAGCACAATGCATGAACTCCATAGCACCAGTGAGGATCCTAAAATTCTTTGGGTAGATTTTAAACTCCAAATTTTGCCTGGACAGCGCCATTAGGCTACTATTTTTCAATTTCCAACTGTCAAGGTTTTTTAAAATCTGCAACAATACACACAATCATTCGATCTAACTACCCAGAGACCAGAGAAATTTCTAGAAGTCCACATGAAAAAATTCTACCCTTCACAGGAGCTTGAACCCAGGACCTCTAGCACTTGAGGCAGACGATATGCCTTGAGACCACACAGTTCCCCCCCCCCCCCTACCCTCCCAAAGGTATGTGATGAAATTATAGGGTTATCTAAAAATAAAGAATTTTGGAAAGTGGTAAGTTATTTTGAAATGTAAAATCTTTAGTTATGATAGAATTTTACCTAGAATTGAAGAATGTTAGGAAATAACGAAAGTTTGGAAATAGAAAATATTAGGAAATATTCTAAATTTACCAGGACATTATAGAAGTTTACCATTACATTATAGAAGTTTACTAGGACATTATAGAAGTTTATCAGGACATTATAGAAGTTTACCAGGACATTATAGAGGTTTACCAGGACATATAGAAATTTACTTAGAAATTAAGAACACTAACAGAAAAGAACTTCATCAAGTGACAAAATATATTTTAAAGTAGTAGAAGTTTATCTAGAAATAAATATTGGGAAAATGTAGAAGTTTACCTGTAAAAAAAGAATATTAACTCTTTCACTCCCAGGGGTTTAGCATTTGATGTCCAAGGGATAGTTAAAAAAAACATAAAACGGCACATCTTGGGCTCAATGGGCTTTTAGGTAGAAACCTATGAATGAATGATGAATTCCTTGGGACTGAAAGAGTTTAAAGAAAAAAGTTTACTTAGAAATAAAGAATTTTAGAAATTAATAAAAGTTTAGAAATGAATATCAGGATAAGTTTACATAGAAAAAAAGAATATTGAGAAATAATAGAAGTGAAATTTTGCAGAATGTCTGGAAATTACTGGTAAATGTGTAACTAAATAGTGACTTAACCCACCAAGAGACGAAAACATTAATACAATCTAGTATCCAAGAAAGGTGGCTGCATACACACACCAGATTCTCTCCCCAAGACTCGCTTCATCGCCTCTCTAGAGAAGGACAGTATTATATTCAGACTAAGGACTGGGTGTCACATATCACTCCTGTCACGTGCCTGATATAAGGATTTCTCCTTCAGCACTCAGAAATAATTATGTTGAGTCGTTTGGCTCGTATTGGTCTAAGGGATTCCCCGTGGCCAATATACGCTCAACTTATCTCTGGAGTAGGGCAACTCAAGTATTGGCACTACAAAATATGTCTGTATATGAATACAATATTTCTAGGCACACTTGGCTGGACACCCCCACTACTTACTAAAGAGAGCCCCCAGGTTATGATAGTTCATTATCATAACCATGTTAACACATATATTTAAGATTCATACACACACAACTGCTAAACACTTAAAAAGGTGAAATAGAGACACCTAAGTCAGCCATGAAAATGAATGCATGTAATCAATACAACATATACATATATATAATAGTGAAGTAGATGCGAGATCTCAATAGCTGGATTCCAGAATACAAAGTCCAGATTACAAAGACAACCAAACAGCCAGAATGATCTTGAGATAACACATATCATCCTCGGGAAACATGGGAACTGTGAGGAATATAGCAAAACATGGCATTAAACTGGCACTTATCCTCTTTCTATCCTTGATGCTTCCCTCAGCTCCTGATGATTCGACTGTCTTTGGTAATTCTGCTTCCACTGGATCAGATGGTGAAGGAATACCTCACCATAAAGGACACAGCCACTGGATAGGCACTTAACAAGTCTCTCCCACTAGTCATTCGCAGCACTGTCCCTGAGCTACACACATGCTCTGGCACTGTATGATGTTTGGGGTATATGGCACCCCATCTTGAGGATGTCAGTCTTCCCAATTGGTAGTTGGGTGATAATTGGTAGGTAATAGGTTGATGGTTGGTTGGTTGGACTGTGATTCTTCTGCCAGCTCTCCACAAGGGTTTCATCCCAAGCATAGGAAAAGTCCTAGGCGCCACAGACCGCCTTTTTAAAATGAAATGTACTGGCGTTGATGGACACGTCTGAGTTCCAGGAAAGCCGGCAGAATAATACTGCTAAATTCCAATTCAGGTGTTGGTAAGAAGTAGTTCCTTGTATACAGGAGCAAGGAGTAAATCGGTTTCTAAGAAACCTCAAATAACTCCACTAATATTTATCCAATAGTTGCAAAGTTGAAAATGACGCCAAGTCAAAGCAACTAGAAGATGTAGATATTCTAATTATGTCCGATAAAGGCATATATCGATATAAGGGACTATATACCTTTCCGGACGAGTCCAAGTTTGAATGTTTTGTCGAGCCCAGGTAAGACAGGTCTCGACTCTGTTAGGGTGATGTGTAATGGCTTATCATTCCACGACACTGGGCACAACAGATTTCGTCAACATATGTTCAAATATTTTGGTGTAGGAAACATGGAGGCTTGTCCCTGCAGCGTGGTACCCGAAAATACTGAGCATGAGCTTCAACACTGACAACTGTATGCTGACAACAGAGACGCAATCTGGCCTGTTCCAACTACAATGAAAACAAAGCTGTATGGTACACAAGAGGATTTGGACAGCATGATATATTTCATAAAGACTACATGCCTCTGGATATAAGTTTTCTGACAGAAGGAATGAAGAAGAAGAAACTGGTATATGTTTACCTAGAAATAAAGGTTGTCAGGAAGTGATACAAATTTACCTAGAAGTGAGGGAAATATGAGAATTCAATTAACAAGTACCCTTTATTTGATTAATAATTACTTGCAGTCAGGAGATGTTTTATTCTGTATCCTCACAGGTAGACGAAGATGAGCCATTGTTTTTAAGTTTGATTTCTGACTTGTTTCCTGGCATTAACCTTGATAGTGCCACTTACGTTGACCTTCAGCATTCACTGAGTAAACGTATTGAAGAAGCAGGACTCATCAACTATGACACTTGGAATTTGAAAATTGTGCAGGTTAAATTCTTATTGTTATCCATTATTTTTTTTTCCATTTTCAGTTTCGTCTTCTAACCTTTATCTGAGCAAATTTTTATTGGGGCTCTCATGTTGACCCAGGCTAAAGGTTAAAGGTAAAGGTTAAAATTGAGAGTATTGACTTCACTGCACTGGATTTTATCTCATATGGCTTGGTCTCTCTCCGCAGAACAGCTAGCCACTTGCTGAGAGCGCTACACAGAGCACTAGCTCCGTATCTCTGGGGATGATCGCCAGGGATCTCCGCAAAAATTGCACCCGCAAACTGAAAAGTGCAGCCATTAAATGAACCCATGACCTTCAGAATGCGAGGCAAATGGCTTGACCTCTTTGCCATGGAGAACCCCCATACTAAAAATGGCTGCCTGGAAAGATTATGGGAAGTAAAGCTGGCCAGAGGATGTTTACCACATCATCAGTCGAGTGTTATTTGGCTTATAAAGATTTCAGTATAGCACCATTTGCTCGCTGTTGAACGAAGGGGTTGGAAAGTCACCTTTCATTGTTCAGTTCCTGTGATTGTGAAAACTGCATGAAATGGCTATCGCTGTCCCATGTGAAAAGAATAGCAGTGTGGCAAGATCCAACAGAAGCAGCCTTAGCATCACTAGAACTGCTAAGTGCATGCTTTATGAAATGCTCTTGGCAAGCACTAGCCATTCTGCTAAGGGGGGGGAGAAAGCCAAATGGAATACAACATATGCAATGAAGTCAATATTGGTTGTCACAGGGGCACTTGCTTAGCTGGGAGAAACAAAAGCAACTTATGTATTGGTAGTGACAGACTCTGTGAGCATGCTTTAGAAGATCCTGACCAGACCAACAAACTCAGACTAGAATGGATTGACAGCATCAGGAAATCCCATCTCAAGTAACTATTTTGGCTGTACACACTGGAAGACGCCGGGGTGAAGGGAAATGAAAGGGTGGACAGACTGGCCAGGTCTACCGTGGTTATTGGAAGAGGAAGTATAGACACGGCAGACAGACTGAATGTGCTGCATTCCAGAGATGTTGAGACAAAGGAGTCAGAGATGAGGAATCACCCATTTGAAATGAGTATTAGACAAGGCCAAACATGCAGAAACTGGTTGTGAAGAAATAGATTATGCTGTTCAACTCCTATTGGGTACATTGCTTATCAAGGCACTGAGACAGCTGCTGCACCAGAGGACGGAGCGTGAGTGGATTGGAGTGATGTGCTAGGATGTCAATACCTACAACTAGTAACAAGTTATGAAGTCATTCCTAATGATTTTAAACCTCTTTCTTTATTCCAGTAATATGAAACCAAAAGAGGTTGTCATGGCATCATGACCCTTGGCATCAGCAATGAAGTCAGTCTTCATGTCTGTTAGAAAACTCACACTTGTATTATAGCTGGGTCACTTTAAATAGGGCTTGTTTACTCTAAAACAAACCCAGCTTCCTACAATTGACTACACTGAAACGCCTCTCAGATTCCATTATGCATTCTGCCAGTTTATTTTTTCTATTCCATCTCAGTTACTCAACTGCAATCATCCCTGCTCACTTCCACAACTATGACACAATACTCATTTGCTCAGTGTTAACTCCACTCAATTAAAACTACAGTAACCACATCACGACTGTCTTTTTCTGACTCTGGTACACAACTGACCCCGAGTCCACCTCGAACTTTCCCCTCATTTACCTTTCCAGCCCCAAGTATCTTGTGCGGTGGTTTGTCACACACATTTTCTGCTTGACTTGCTGTGAGCGTGGAGGCCATGCAAAGCAGGGACATCACAATGACTTTAAACCTCTTTTTTAATTCCAGTTATTTGAAACTCAGAGAGTTCGTCACGGCATCATGACCCTTGGCCCCAGTGGCACGGGAAAGACTTGCTGTATTCGTGTGCTGATGAGTTCACTCAAAGACCTCGGTGCACCTCACAAGGAGATGCGAATGAATCCAAAAGCCATCACTGCTCCCCAGATGTTTGGTCGTCTGGATGCAGCTACCAATGACTGGACTGACGGCATTTTTTCCACTTTGTGGAGAAGAACCTTGAAAGTTAAAAAAGGTCAGTTGTGTGTCCTTGCTGTTGATTCAGGTCTTAGATTGGATTTAATTGCCATTCAGTCGGGCCGCACAACACTGTTCAGTTAGATCTTTGATGATCTTGTTATTTGCACATCTAGCTACTGTACAGCAGCACAGACACTAAGAAAACATTGGGGAGGGGGTGTAAGTAAAAAAGTTTCTAGTTGAACAGCAATATTAATAACAATATAAAGTAATGATACTGTGCTAAATAGCAAAGTGAGTAAGTGAGTTTTGCCCCACTAGACATCACACAGAGCGATAAACACCTGGTGACACAAAGTGCCACTATGCCTATTAGGATTACCCGTGGAAAGTTCCTGAAAACTGCATTCAACCATTAAGTTATATTGTGGCCCCTGACAACAGCCAGGAAAGGAGGGGGGGGGGGGGGGGGGCCTACAAATTAAAAAAAAATTGCATTCCCACAAGGAGATGACGAAGATTTTCTTTATAGCTGAATGGCAATTAGCAGTAGTAGTACATTTTACCCCACTAGGACATAACACAAGCGATAAACACCCGATGACACAAAGTGCCACCATGTGGATGAGGATCACCCGTGGAGAGGTCCCGGAAACTGCATTAAGCCATTAGACCATATTTGTGGCCGGGCTATATTGGGGCCAAGGGAGTAGCCATAGCGGAGCAGCTAGACGCTCGCTGTGGATCAGAAGGTCGTGGGTTCACTCCCTGGCAGAGCTGGACTTTTTTTCCTTGAGTGGGTAGCGGGTGCAGTCTCGGGAAGTAAAAGCGGCTGGCATGATGCTGACCACATCACCCATCTTGTGTCGACTGGTCTATAAAAATAAAGGTCTAGCCCTATATGCCCTATACCCCTAAAGGCATGGACAAGATTCCTGTACTTTTTTACTCATTTTGCGGCCCCTGGCAAGAGCCAGGGTGTGGATAAAAAAAAAAAAAAAAAAATTTGCATCTCACTAGGAGATGGCTGGTTTAGCTGAATGGAAAATGAATATACAATTTTTTGAAACAATATCAAAGATATAAATAAATACTTTATAATACCCTAAAGTTGGAGGTTAAGGGCAAAAAGGTGCAGATGGTCCAGAAAGGCATCATAGCCGTACCTGAAAACTATGACACCATTCAACTTCTTTTCTGTAACAAAAAAAAAAACAAAAAGAGAATGATGAGAGGAAGACTGTGTGGATAATCTACAATAAAATCTTCTGGAACTGGAGGAAGTTTTGCACAGATTACTTCTCTTAATCATCTTGAAAAGCAGGTACATCAGGATAGTATTAGTGGAACCATTACAAGTCCTCTAATTATGACGTCTTAGGAGGTTGATCAAGGTATGTGGAATTTATCTTGTCAGTTTTGTCACCTGAGATGTGATTCTTTTGAGTCACAAGAGCAGTCAAAATTTCAGATAGCTACTGAGAAGATGAAGATGGAAGAATTAATAAAGAAATCCAGCAAAGATGCGATAAAGCAAATCAAGTTTTAGGCCCGCAAAAGATGCAGTAAAGCCAGTCAAGTTTTAGACCAATTTTTACATGCAAGCGTGTGATTATGAACACTGAAAGAACGCCTTTTAACACAGTATTCTTACCGTGGCACGGTGATTTATGTCACAGGCGTGAGGGAAAGTTAAGTCCAACATAATGTGTATAAGGAGATACTCCGTACGTCACTCGGCGCCAGTCCTTCACTGTTCTGGTTGTACGAAACCTCATGCAAGACCCCTGCAGCACGTCCTCATTGTGCGCCACGGATAATGTCTCAAATGAGCATTAACAGAGCTGTCAGGGGATCTCAGAGTTTTGAGGCCCCCAGAGGTGATGTGTCCTTGTGGCTCTCATCAGCCCGCCCCCAAATGCATGGGTGAAAAAGGTTATCAAAACTCATTAGGAACATGAGTAAAGTGCTTGCCGAATGTACAACTAAAATTACAACCCTTGGTTAAAATAATTGGGAGTGAAGAGAACATTGTTCTGCTGTGACTCAACCCTTGACCTAGAGATTTACCCGCAGCACAGACGAGTAACATCTCCTGTGGGTGGTGTCTCGCAGCAAGATTCTACCCATGTACATCCTCTGTTAACCCTCAGTGTCGTCGTCGCCGCGCTGAGGTACACCAAGACAGCAAAATCTGACCATCACAAATCGTATTGAACGGAAAAAGTCCGAATGTCCACACCAAAAGACCCCATTCACCTGAGTGCTGGGACCAAACAGATAACCATATGCCTGACGCAGGATGTTGAATTTTGTCGGGCTAACGGCTCGTCAAAGATACCTAACATGCGAAGAAAAAGAATGTACCTATTTGGGTGGTCACAAAAGTCCAGAATTCGCTGGCTGCTCCCCGCTGACTTCCGGAGGGCGCAGCCCTTGTCGAGCGGGAGGCCTAATACGGTTGTGAGGTCAAGCAGGCATGTGCAGGACGTGACGATTCCTTGGGTGAGCCCAGAACCAGAGCGCCATGTGCCGGCTTCGCAAAAATGGAAGCCTCCTTGGATGGCGGGGAATGCCCATGATCTGCCCCTGCCTTTCCTTGAGGGCCAACCGTTCCACAGGGGGCTGCCCCAAAGGGGTACTCCGGGGGCAATACCTGCGAAGAAGGAGACAAAGTGGACACCACACAAATCAGGCATCGTCTCGACCCACACAAAACAATGGCCACAGTCATCCTAGAAATAGGCCTGACGTCTTCCCTCGAATTCGGAGTACAGCTGCCCATGAGGCAGGGAACAACAAAACGGTTGTACTTGCAAAACTCAGGTCCAGGTAAAAGCCAAAAGTCCAAGCGGACGATTAACCGGGACCTTCCGCCGGAATTCACATCCGGTGAACGAAGAAGAAGAAGAAGTATTCTTACCAACCCTATGCTATCAGTGTCAAACATGGACATTATCTTAAGAAGACAAAAGGAAAAAAGTCATGACAGAAATGAAATGTTTACGTACAATGCTAGGTGTGACAAGGAAAGATTGACTTAGAAACGTTGATATCAGGAGAAGAGTTGGTACAGAACCAATGCTGAACTTTATAGATAGACAACAAATCAAATGTTTTGGTCATGTAAGAAGATTGGCATCCGACAGGGCACCACAGAGTGCAGTGTTAAACAGATAGAACGGTAACAGATCCAGAGGTCGACCACGCAGAATATGGACCACAGAAATATCAGAGACACTGAAAAGTACTTTATATTAAGCAAACAGAAGAACCTAGTCCAGAGTTCTATTCCTGCCCTTATACTACAAGGCATTCCGGGAGTAGGCGAAAGAAGAAGAAGAAGACTGAGGAGAAAAACAGTCAGTCGGTTAATAGTTTAGAACTGAACATATTCTTTTGGTACTAAACTCTAAGAACTAACCAAACTTTTCTTCCTCCTTTATCACCGAATGTAACATAGGCTGTCAGCCAGTTTCATCAAGTGATCTTATCCTTTGATATCACAGTCAGCTCACCCACCATGAGCCCCCCCCCCCCCCCCCCATTCCCCCTACCAAATCTTGTAACATTCCAGATGCTAGTTTTAGAGATTTTCCTTAGGAAAGGAGGTGCACCGGCGATACAGATCTCTTTCAGCTATCTCCACGTGTTATAATTCTCCTTTAAAGAGGGCATTTCAATATGTCACACCAGATGCCTCTTCAAAACCTGACGCAAAAACAAAACAAAAGGCAGAACAGGGTCTTGAGAGAAGAATAAAGAGGACAGGAACGTGTGAAAAAAGAAGAAAGGAAAGTGTTGATGTTAAAAGTGCCTAGATCGGAAAGAGTTAACATTTTGATGTTCAAACAACAGGTGAGCATGTGTGGCTGATTCTTGATGGTCCTGTGGATGCTGTGTGGATCGAAAACCTCAACTCTGTGCTTGATGACAACAAGACTTTGACCCTGGCAAATGGTGACCGCATACCCATGGCACCGACTTGCAAAATTCTATTTGAAGTACACAATATTGACAATGCCTCTCCAGCCACAGTGTCCAGGAATGGAATGATCTTCATGTCCTGCTCAGTACTTCCATATCTTCCTATTTTACAGGTGATGTACAAGTTTCTTTTTTTTTTAAAGTTATGAGTTGAGTTGATTCAAGGACCGACATCACAGCACCCTGGGAATTCCCATAAGCGCTCTGTCCCCCTTTTAAGCAGTCAGTGAAGAGTTCCAATGCTAATGGTGCAAGTAGCATTCTGATTAAATGTCCGTCTTTCCTTTCCTCTGAGCCTAGAGCATCTGCCAGAACCTCTCGTCACTCCCCGCTGCATCAATCTCCCCAGACTGTGGTGATCCATCTGCTCCTCCTAACTGTACAGGCTCTCCCATAACGCACTAACTACATCTGTCTTATCATGCATCAGTATTCCACCAAGTTGTGCAGAGCCAGCCAGTCTGTCCGCCTGTTCATTTCCTAACACACCGGCATCTCCCGGTGAAAAAATCCAGACAATGAATAAAAATCCAGACAATACTCATGAATACTGTTGAATGTCATGTAGACCGGGAAGGCTAACCTGGTCAACAAATGCCCACAGAAGTCAGATGTGTTGGCCGAAAGGTGCAAATATCGCAGCCATGCTGTAAACCGACACAACGCAATTACATCTTCAGATGAATGCAGAAGAAGAAGAATGCATGAAGTAGCAAAGAAAATGTAGTATATATAAGATATATATATATATATATATATATATATATATATATATATATATATATATATATATATATATATTTATATATATATATACTAAGGAAGTTAAAGTTAATTGCTGCATATGCTGAATGCTTGTGGCTTTACTAAGCAGTTTTATGTTCAGTCTTTGTGTAATTGACTCCAGAATGGTTAAAACACATACTGCTGGTGAAATCACTGCAAAATAGGCTGCTTCCAAGTCGCCCGTAGCTGAATCAAACCTGGTATGTCAGAATTGTGAAACTCCATTCATTGCCCTTAGCCAGAGATTTCGACACTGAGAAATTATATATTTTATATCCCCAA